TAAACCTTATCTAAGCATAAAATACATATGAACAAGGAAAGTTAACTATTTCAGCTTTCATCCCCCCTCTTTGAGCAATACATTGCTCATCTTATCGGTTAAAATCTTCCCAGGACAGAGACACTTCCACATTATGGTATTCCCAAGCAATCATGTGGTCTACAAGAAACAGAAACTCAGCAGGAAAAAAGACACTTAATACTTTTACAGACAGATATATAGAAAATGGATGTTTAAGACAAAATGGAACTTGGGCTTATAGCAAATATATTATTGCAAATAGCTGACATGTTAACCAATTTTAAACAGACTAACCAGCCTGTCATCTGTATCGTAAGCCCTGGGTAAATATGGGCAAAGTGTATTATTCCCAACAGTTATTTTCCTCCTTTGTCCACGGAAGTGGGCGCATATAGTCAAAGTGGGAATAATACCTATCCCCCGTTCAAGGACCGGGGTCTAGGATTACCAGTCCACCCGATGATCTGGGGCCAGGCAAAAAACCCCAGTGGCAAAAACTCATATTTGAGGAAAAAGCACATCTGGGGAAAACCTGAGTGGGGGCCGCGATCGTGTTAGACATGTCATCCCCTCACAGTTGACACCACTTGTGACTTATAATACCCGCACCTGTGAGTACATAGCTCGGGTATCGGGAGGAATTGGGAAACACTTCTTACATATTAATTCATGAGATAAATTATAATCTAGCTTGAAATTCTGACAATAATAACCAGGACCTTGCGTCCTATATCTTTTAACCATTTCCCTATTCCAAAGGTCCAGTCAAAACCAGTCATATCCTCACGCAGTTTCACAAAACATGGGAATCCATCCTTGGCACACTCAACATATATCAAAAACACACATAGTACAGCTAACTCTGGGTCAGCTAACACTTCCTCTCTCTCTCCGGCTAACTCTACAAAAGTAAAAATAAAAATAAAAATAGTTCAATAGTTCAGCATAGTTCAGAAAAATAGAATAAGTCTTTCACAGAGTATAAAGAAATCAGTTTAGACAGCAGACATTTTGTTCCATAAAATGGCTAGGGTAGCAATATGGCTGACAACAAGACAATGTCAGCTTCCACATAGTTCTTCTTTTGTATGCTGGATTTTCACCACAATACTATGTGTAACACCCCAATGGTTGAAAGGGTTATTACAGAACCAGCGGTATTAGACAGCACTGCACCTTCAGGACTTTCCAGGTTCTTGCGTGCAAAGTTTATGTCCTCATAAGTATCTCAGTTTCTTCGGCCTGCATGGATAATGACCAAACAGATGTAATTGCAAAATACTTATTGCATGGTCAGCCGGAGAGATTGATGTGTAGTCCCAGAAATCAGGCGGCACAAACACTCCAGGACGGTCTCTACAATCATACAAACACAAGGATCAATACATCATTAATTAATTACCTAGGCTAAAACTTAAATTAGAGATTAAGGTTAAACCCTTAATTTGTGTAACATGTACTTCTCTTACATTTGCTTATATTTTATGCAATCTGTCTTCTATGAAGTTTTACATAATATCCCTTTGGAATGCCTTTGTACGGATGAGAGAAGCACTCACTCTATAGAAATGCTTGTTAGGATGAATATTAAAAACACTAACATTTACATATACATTCCCAATAAAACTTAGTTCCTAAACTTGAACCTTGATTTGATACTCAAAATTAATTACTTTAATAATCCCAAATAATTCAATACTCTTGGATTAACACCTAAACCTATATAAAATATTAAAAACATTAACCATCTGTGTATTAGGCTGGGATTGTTGGGTGTGGGTTTTGTGGTTGGTATTGAGGAATCTGTGGGGGTGGGTTTGGGCACTCATTTATCCAGTGACCCTGCTATCCACAATTAGAACTGTGTGTTCCACCAATACTGAAGTTGCTACCTCTACAAAAGTTAGAACCTTTTGACCAAATCCTCTACCTTTGCCTTTAAAACTTTTCTGATTCAATCTCCTATCACCTCCCAAATTTCTTTGTCTCGCCTGCTTAGGATCACAGTCCTTGTGACTGATACAACATACCTTTTCCTTATTTCTTTCTATCAAAACAACCTGCTATATCTTTCTCATGAATCTTCCCAAGAAATTCATTTGGGGTCAAAAAGGGCCAGTCACAGACCAGCAAGGAACAAAAGTGAACAAGGAGGAAGCATATTCCATATGCAGGTCGGGATTACCGAACTCACATCCCCTCTTTGTGTACCACACAGATATAATATTAATAAGCTTTTAAACGTTTAATGGATAGTTAAATTGTGTATATAAAGCAAGGTTGTCTAGGGGTATATACATTGACAATGAAAGCATAGCCTTCATCAGGGGTCAAGTCCTGGGGAAAAAAGTGTGGGAACTCACCCAAGATTCCCGCCGCCCCCTTAAAAAATTACACTCCTATGCATATAGTGCAGTGCAGGGTGTGTATAATGAATGTAGTGTGTTTGTAGTGAATGCAGAGTGTGTATAATGAATGCAGTGTGTTTTTAGTGAGTGCAGAGTGTGTACACTGAATGCAGTGTATGTAGTGTGTTTGTAGTGAATGCAGAGTGTGTATAGTGAATGTAGTGTGTAGTGAGTGCAGAATGTGCATAATAAATGCAGAGTGTGTATAGTGAATGCAGAGGGTGTATAGTGAATGTAGTGTGTTTGTAGTGAGTGAAGAGTGCGTGTGTGTGTGCTGGATGATGTGTGTGTGTGTGTGCTGGATGATGTGTGTGTGTGTGTGCTGGATTATATTATGTGTGTGTGTGCTGGATGGTGTGTGTGTGTGCTGGATGGTGTGTGTGTGTGTGTGCTGGATGGTGTGTGTGTGTGCTGGATGGATGTGTGTGTGTGTGTGAGTGCTGGATGATGGGTGTGTGTGTGCTGGATGATGTGTGTGTGTGCTGGATGATGTGTGTGTGTGCTGGATGATGGGTGTGTGCTGGATGATGGGTGTGTGAGTGCTGGATGATGGGTGTGTGTGTGCTGGATGATGGGTGTGTGAGTGCTGGATGATGTGTGTGTGAGTGCTGGATGATGGGTGTGAGAGTGCTGGATGATGGGTGTGTGAGTGCTGGATGATGGGTGTGTGAGTGCTGGATGGTGTGTGTGTGCTGGATGATGGGTGTGTGAGTGCTGGATGGTGTGTGTGTGTGCTGGATGATGTGTGTGTGTGTGCTGGATGATGTGTGTGTGAGTGCTGGATGGTGTGTGTGTGAGTGCTGGATGATGGGTGTGTGAGTGAGTGCTGGATGATGGGTGTGTGAGTGCTGGATGGTGTGTGTGTGAGTGCTGGATGAGTGTGTGTGTGTGTGCTGGATGAATGTGTGTGTGTGGAGGTGCTGGATGATGTGTGTGTGTGCTGGATGATGTGTGTGTGGTGCTGGATGGTGTGTGTGTGTGCTGATGTGTGTGTGTGTGCTGGATGATGGGTGTGTGAGTGCTGGATGATGGGTGTGTGTGTGCTGGATGATGGGTGTGTGAGTGCTGGATGGTGTGTGGTGAGTGCTGGATGATGGGTGTGTGTGTGCTGGATGATGGGTGTGTGTGAGTGCTGGATGATGGGGGGACATTTTTTTAACTTTATGTGTATGTATATTTTTTTTTTTTTTTTATTCCCCCCTCCCTGCTTCTTACCTTGTCAGGGAGGGCGGAGATCGCCTGGTGGTCCGGTGGAGGGAGCCAGCCGCTGCACACAGGGGCCATCACACACTGTGTTCCCTCTCCAGCTCTAACTCTCGCGTTAGTTATAGCTGGAAAGGAACACAGCGTGTGATGGCCCCTCAGTGCAGGTAGCAGGGCCGGTCCTGCAGGACAGGTAACGGGAACGGCGTTCCTGCTATGGAAAAAGTGCAGGAACGCCGTTCCCATGCGTTCCTGCAGGACTCGAGCCCTGGCCTTCATTTAGGGCTTGCAATACTGATAGTCTGTGTCATGAGCATAATGCAGACATGCGGTTAGGTACTTTTCCATTGTTATAATATATTGAAAACACTAAGACTTTGCAAAAAAATTTAAAACACATATTGCTTCCTGTACCTGGTGCCGTGCAAGGATGTAATTGGGACATATTTCAAATTGAGTATCAAAAGTCTAACCACAAAACTATATGTTATACACTTCTTAAGAAAACAAGTTTAACCCGTTAGTGCGTACTTTGGATAGCCTCTTGGCATTATTTGTCTCCTAGTGAGATTATTATATTATTTATTTATCCTCTTCTGAATCTGCAAAATGCTTTCACTTTACCCATACAAATATATTACAGTAGTTTAGGAGATTAAGATTAACTCACTTATACATTTCCAAAATTGTCTAATCTCCAATAAAAATACCATTTTATTATTACCCCATAATCAATGAGGCATTCTAGATGAATCTTACTTTGACACAAGCAATGCAATATACTTTAAAAGTAGAGTTAACTCTGAGCTGGACAATACTCCCCTATTAGAACTCCTTTATGAGGGAGAGACATCTTGTCCATTCAATCCTTTTTATCAGTAAAAGAATGACTTTCAGGATTAATCAGTTTGCAAATGGAAACGTGGAGCCACGATTTAATCAGCAGAAGTTTTGCGGGGCCCCTTTCACGTGGGATGTAACAAGCGCTTTTCTTGCTCCAGGAGCGATTACAATTGTTTCATTCTAGCCGGCTGGACAGCATTTCACCTTTTGTAAAAACACTAAATGCTTGCGTTAATGATATGCAAATCACTCTGCTAGTCCTACACAATGGACAATAAAATACATGAAACACATAACACACCAATTCATTTCAAACCATATAACTCATACTCAGCATCCAATGTAATATTACATGTCATCTCACAAAACAGACATCCCACAAAACAGACGTAGTAGATACACGTATCGGGTACCCAGCAGATATGCCAATACAGAAAACACATTCATGAGCACACAACTACACACTCTGTATCCCTCCTAGGAAACACGGGCAGACACGATATGAAAGCAGTCTTAAACTAACACCTCCAAATCTCCATTCCCATATAGCTATACCAGACCACAACACAGAACCTCTCTGAGCTCATAGAACTACTCCAACTCCAACTACTCTTGGCCAAAACGCTAGTATTCAACAGCTAATAAAACAGTTATTTGCTAGGTTATTTGGCTGGCATTTGTATCAGTATCACTAGACTGAAACAAACTGATTCAAATATAATTTAAAACAACACAGCAACATATAAATTAAACCACTTTCCAGTTAAGCTGCACACTTCACACATTATCACAATCACCATTTACACAGAATAAACAGTTAACAGCTGTACTCAGAACATATTATTGTAAGGTATACCAATTTTAGTTTGTATTAGATTTATTTTAGGAATTCTTATGCATACATGTTTAGTTTTGTTTTTTCTAATTAATGTCATTACTTTAATCTACTACAGTATTGTATATAAAGAAAGGATCCATTTATATAGCGCGCTCATAACTCAAATATTTGTCTGAAACGTCCATTAACTAATCTGAGATGATGCTGCATCAATTTTAAATCTTACAGAAATTTTGCAAACATCTGGACCAGATTACACAGACATGGTTTCACCCGAATCTTTCAGAACTCTCACAGACTTAAAAAATTTATACTATACCATGTTCTAAGGCATGGCAAACCTTTAGACCGGTCAGTCTCCAAGAGCCTTTGTAACACAGGTAAAAACCTTTGTCCATGATGTCTGATCCAGGCTATATACCACAATTTAAAATAACACATATAATGTGAGACATAGAAGACACAAAACATAGGCAGTAGCTGAATCATTTAAAGCATCTGTAGCAATAGAAAGGTTAGCTTTCAGCACAAAATGAAGCATGTGTTGGACCGCTG